TTTTTCAATATTGGGGAGGCTTTATTCAAGAAATCTGTCTCGTGCAGCAGGAAAATCAGCTTGGACCTCCATCCCTAGTGCTCACAGGAATAGCACTTGGTCACACCTGCCACTTGAGCTCCCACTTTGCAACTTTACAGCACCACCTGAAAATGTCCACTGTTTCTTCTCTTCAGAAATATAAGGATAAGAATTGGTCTTCTCAGTGTCTAACGTAGTAGCTCTTTTATCTCTTTTTAAAAGATTTATTTGTTTATTTGAAAGGCAGAGTTACAGATGCAGAGGCAGAGAGGTCTTCTTTCCTCTGGTTCACTCCCCAAATGGCTGCAACAGTCAGAGCTGCACCGATCGGAAGCCAGGAGCTGGGAACTTCCACTGCTTTTCCCAAGTCCTAGCAGAGAGCTGGATCAGAAGTGGAGCAGCCAGGTCTTGAACCAGTGCCCATATGAGATGCCAGCACCGCAAATGGCAGCTTTACCCACTACACCATAGTACTGACTGTCGCTCCCCCTCTTCGTGGAGGAACGACACAGGACCCTGCGCTGTTCTTTCTGTCTGCTCGGCCCTCCCCGGGTTTGCTGCTGGTTCTTCCCGGGTTGGCTACTGTCCCTTCAACCTCCGTGGAAGGGCAGTTCCCCCTGGCCGCATTCCCCACTTCCGCAGGGGAGCGGCACACCGCCGGCCGGCTCTCTCGGGGGCTGCACAGGTGTTCCTTCAGGTAGATGTTCCCCTTAGATGTTCCTGGTGCATGCCGTCTCTCTCCTCCTTTATAGTCCTCCTCTGCCAATCCCAACTCGGCTGCCCACACGCCGAGTACGCTGCTCTCCTCCAATCAGGAGCAAGTCCTACAGTTTATTGGTTGAACTGGAGGCAGCTGTGCAGAAGCTGTTTTCTTCTCTCCCAGCGCCATATTGTGGGAGAGCAGATGCATAGAATAAGTCTTAATTCCAGTAACTCAGTCTAGTCCGGATTGCTCCCCACAACTGACCCTGCTCTTTATCTTTTTTTAAAGATTTACTTATTTGCAAGATAGAATTAGAGGGAGAGACAGAGATCTTCACTTGCTGGTTCACTCTTCAAATGGTTCCAACAGCTAGCGCTGGGCAAGGCCAAAGCCAGGAGCCTGGAGTCTCCATCTGGATCTCTCTTGTGGATGGCAGGGACCCAAACACTTGGGAGCAGACGTGATAAGGGCAACATAGAATATGAAGGCTAAAGGACCTCATTTCATAAAGTAACTCAATTACAGTTATAAATCTTGAGCCAATCATTTTTCTTTATTTATTTGAAAGCATAGTGACAGATAGAAAGATCTTCCATTCACTAGTTGACTCCCCAACTCCCCATATTGCCAGTAAGAACTGAGGCTGGGCCATGCCAGAACCAAGAGCCAGGAAGTCAATCTGGGTCTCCCCAGAATTTGAGCCGTTATCTGCTGCCCATCACATGCCCATCAGCAGGAAGCTGGATCAGAAGTAGAGGTGGGACTCAATCTCAGGCACTTCATCCGGGGGTACAGGAGTTCCAAGTAGTGACTTAACTAACAGTGTGTCACAGTGCCTGCCCTGATCACACTCTTTGGTTGATAGTTGGTAGAAATTTCTGAAAAGAACTTACAATGGTATTTAATTTTTGTGTTAATTTTTTTTTAACTTAAAAGTCTGTGCTCCTTAGAACCAAGGAAAGTTCTTCATCTGTGTAGATGGCTCATTTCGTTAATTTATGTATTTTATTCCTTCTGACCTGTGACCTTTGTTATAGGCAAAAAAAAGTAAAACCAAAATGCCATCATTGGTAAAGAAGTGGCAGAGTATCCAGCGTGAGCTAGATGAAGAGGAGAACTCCAGTTCCAGTGAAGAAGATCGGGAATCCACTGCACAGAAGAGAATTGAAGAGTGGAAACAGCAGCAGCTGGTCAGGTAAAACAAAAGAGATCACAGATGGGCTGGGTTGTGGCGGATGTGTTAGAACAGTTATTCTTAAAATCACAGCCCTTAGGGGCTGCTGTTGTAGCACAGTGGATTAATCTGCCACCTGCAACTCTGGCACCCGTGTGGACACTGTGACACTCCTGGCTGCTCCACTTCCAATCCAGCTCCCTACTGGTGGCCTGGGGAAAGCAGTGAAAGATGGTTTCAAGTACTTGGGCCTCTGCCACCCATGTGGGAGACCCAGATCAAGTTCCTCGATTTGGCCTGGCTCAGCCCTGGCCGTTGCAGCCACCTGGAGAGTGAACCAGCAAATGGAAGAACAACTCCCCCACCCACCTTGTAAGTCTGACTGAAAATAGATAAAAGTAAAAAAAAAAATCACGACAATTAGTGGAGAATATACCAGTATTAAGCTGACAGCATTTTTTTTATTATTTATTTATGTATTTATTTATTTGAAAGAGTTACACAGAGAAAGGAGAGGCAGAAAGAGCAGTCTTCCAACTGCTGGTTCACTCCCCAGTTGGCTGCAACGGCTGGAGCTTTGCCGATCAGGGGCCAGGAGCTTCTCCCTTGTCTCACGTGGGTGCTTTCCCAGGCCATAGCAGAGCTAGATCGGAAGTGGGACTGGAACTGGTGCCCATATATGTTGCTGGCACTGCAGGAGGCAGCTTTACCTGCCATGCTACAGTGCCATCCCCAAGCTGACAACTTTGAAACATTTTCTTAAACATGTTAGATCCACTTTAATTTTTATTTATTTGAGAGATAGGGTTCCCACTCACTCACTTTCAAATGCCCAGAAAAGCCAGGACTGGACTGAGCTGGGCCAAAGCCAGGAACTAGACATTCAATCCAGGTCTCCTGCATTATGTAGATGGTGGAAACCCAAATAGTTCAACCATCATCACTGCCTACCAGGATCTGCATTGCAGGAAACTTGAATCAGAAGCTAGAACCCGGAATTGAACCCAGGGACTCCAATATGGGACCCAGGCACCTTAACTGCTGTTCCAAAGACCTGCCCTGTTTCTGTTTGCTGGAATATAAAGTTTTCATTCTTTTCTAGTGAAGTAATCCGTCTGTTGTTTTCACAGTGGCATGGCAGAAAGAAATGCTAATTTTGAAGCCCTTCCTGAGGATTGGCGAGCAAGACTAAAGAGAAGGAAAATGGCTCCAAATACATAGTTAAAAAAATTTTTTTTTAATTTATGTGTATGTGTATTCAGTTCAGAGTCTTAAAGCCATTGTCAAATAAACTATACATGTTATGGTGGAGAACATATCAATTTCCTGGGCAAGAGCATATACGTATAAATTTTTCACATTTGTGAAATGTGATTTTTCTGTTTTCCTGATGGGAGAGATTATTGGAATTGTTTTGAGCTGACTGCCTTTATTCTGGAGAACTTCGCGTCAGGTGTATTAATCATCACTCTGAAGACCATGTGGCGCCTATGAGTATGGCACGTTTAGCTGAGGACTCATTGACAAAAAGTAAAGGATTATCCTGCCTAATGGAGCTCATTTACTTCTACTCCAAAACAAGTGCAATTAAGAAGGCAGCTCTTTACTCTGTCTTGCTTGAATGGGATTGGCAGGATCTCTTTTTTGACCTCTTCCTCTGGTCTGCCACTCCTGAAGTGCTGGTCTTTGTGGCTTACCTTGTCCTGAGAGCCTTGCTGTAGTTCTCACAAATCATAGAACTGGCAGCTTGGTCATCTCACACACTAGGTAGCTTATTTCAGTGTTATACAGGCAGCAATAGCAGCAGGTGTTTATCCTTGATTTTGAGAATTTGTCCCTCAACTATGTGGTAGTAAAAGTGCTAAGAGCCACTCTGTGTATTAATGTATCTCCAGTGTCTTACGCTGTTCCAAGACTCACTCTCCTGTGTGTGAATGTGTTCTCCATGAAATTCCAATATTTAAAAAGCAGTTTATGTTCTGTACTTCTGTTGTATCGCAATCAGGTAAAAGTCACTTTAAACTGAAGAAAAGGCAAATTGTGTTTTAAGGCTGTTTATATTTCTCCAGTTTGTGACCATGTAAATTTGTATATATGCACTAATAAAGTTTTTTTATACTTCCGATTGGTTATCCTTTTGCTCTTCTAAGCCTGTTACTCCATGGTTATGTAACCAGGACTTACGTCATGTCTGAATTTTTTTTTCTGATCAAACGTGGTTCGAGGCCTGTGCAAACACTGAAGAACAGCATACAGGAAAAAGAAGAGCAGCAGGATCTTGAGCAGGGTGTGGCGACACACGGGGCAGAATCAGAAAAACAGGCCTCACTCCACATGTGCTATATGACCCAAATTTTTGGAGCGTGTACCCTAAAATACGAGCTAATGTTTGACCTATTTAAGTCCTGGAAATGATGTAATGTAGTTAACATTTTGGAAATTAGAAAAACGGTGCTTTATCGTTTTTTATAATAGTAATATATGGTGGATATAAAAGATATATACATACAGTCTTACTCATATAAAGGTAACCAAAGACAATTGTTTGGATTTATTCCAGTATATTTCTATGCATATAGTTTACACTTTTTACCTGATCATGTGTTGGATTTTATTTACCATTATGCTAATATCGGGATTACCATTTTTGTACGTCGAATTGTTATTTGCATAGAGTAAATTTCTGCAAATAAATTAAAGGCTATCAACTAGTTAATAAAGCTTTTGTCTTAACTGCCTCACGATTTTCCAGACTTGCAGCAGTTGTTGAGAAGCACCATTTCCTGAAGGGTAGCGATTAAGACAGTCCAAACGTGCGGCTGTAACTCGCTAACGTTGTTCCTCGTAGTTTTTCAGTGTGGACGGTAATTTTAGCATTCTTGCTAGGGGCTTCGTGAGAATCTAGAGCAACACTGCGGGGCCGGGGGAGCAGCACCCGGAGCAGTAAGTTGCCTAGAGCACGCGCCCTGCACTGCTGGCAGGCATAGTGGTCCGCTGCCTAACGCTGTGTCGATCCGGGTTCTAGTCCGCCTGGGCTGCGGTCCCGCCCCCTTTGCTCCTTGGGGGCGGAGCCTGGTTCCCGGAAGGAGGCGTCCCGTCCCCCGCCTTCCTTCCGCCTTCCGCTCGCGGTTGCTAGGCTACGCGGGCCCTCGCAGAAAGGTGGCGAGTGTGTCCGCTGGTGCATTGCCCAGCCTCTGGGGCGTGCAGCGTGCGCCCTCCTCACCCAGGCTGCCCTGCCGCCGCGGGCGCAGCGCCCACCTCCTGCCCGGTACTGGCGGGGGCGCGGGGCGGTCGCACCCCTGGCTCTAACCTCCTGGGAAATCCCTGCTCCATCCTCCCCGGTCCTTTAGGAAAACCAACCCGCAGCCTCTGAACCCCAGAGTTCGGCTCTTAGGGTCCACTGTCCCTGCCCCCGACCTTTCGTTTCGGTCCGCCGCGTTTCTTCCCTCGCTGTGGCGTCCTGGGGCATCGGCCCTCCCGGCGCCCCGCGGGGAGAAGGCAGAACGCGCCGCCCTCGCTCGCTCAGTTGCGCCTCCTGGGCTCAGGGTGGGAACCGGGCCGGGGCCGTGTCCGAGGCGAGGCGAGGCGGCGGCGGCGGTTTCATTTGCCCCGTTTGGTTTTGTAGCCTCTGCTGTGTAATCAGCCGCCCATTCGGAGATCGGGCAGGGGTGGCGGCTGCACGCGGTGTCGCTGAGTGGGCTTGAGCAGACCATGCGGAAGTAACATGTTCCCGGCGCTGGACACGGAGCTAAAGCAGGAGGTTGGTAGGCTGCCCTCTGCCGGCACCTCGCGGGAGTGCAGCGCCGGGTCCGGAGGGTGCGCGCGTTCCACTGCTGGGTATCTGAGAGGCCTCTCCTCTTACAGACCCTTGCTGACCCCTATGAAGACTTTATGTACCATCACCTCCAGTACTATGGCTACTTTAAAGGTAACACCACCTACCTAACTCGCGTCATCTTTCCGGGGTTCAGGAGGTGCATTGTTTCATTAGCTGGGAGAGCTGAGATTTTTCCAGTCCACTGGTGAAAAGCATTTCTTTAATCCGATCATCAGCAGTGTCACCTCTGTTAAGTGACAACAGAGTCTGTATACAGGGTTACAGGGTCTGTTTCTGGGCTGTCTATTCTGCCTTTTATTACTTTTTTTTGGTCTGACCTTACACCAATATCATCACCCCTCTTTTTAAAAACTATGTATTTATTTTCACTTTATTTGAAAGGCAGAAAGACATTGATGGAAAGACAGGTGGAGAGAGAGCTTCCATCTGTTAATTCACTCCCTGAAACTCCTAGAAGAGCCAGAGCTGGTCCAGGCCAAAGCCAGGAGCCCGGGGTGCCATCTAGGTCTCCTGTGTGGGTGGCAGGGACCCAAGTAGTTGAGCCATCATCTGCAGCCTCCCAGAGTGCACATTAGCAGGAGGCTGGATCGGAAGCAGAGTAGCTACGGGTGTCTCAGGCAGAGGCTGCCACATCTCAGCTGCTACCTGGAAATGCGTGTCATCCCATTTTGTCCTTCAAAACTGACTTGGCGGGGCTCACATTGTGCTGCAGTGGGTTAAGCCTCCGCCTGCAATGCTGGCATCCCACGTGAGCACTGCTTTCCGAGGCCGTAGCAGGGGAGCTGGATCAGGACTGGAACAGGCGCCCATATGGGATGCAGGCACTGCAGGCTGGGGCTTTAACCTGCTACACAGCGCCGGCCCAGAGATAGAGTTTTTTTTTTTTTTTTTTTTTTTTTTTTGACAGGCAGAGTGGACAGAGAGAGAGACAGAGAGAAAGAGAGAGAAAGGTCTTCCTTTGCCATTGGTTCACCCTCCAATGGCCGCCGCGGCCGGCGCGCTGCGGCCGGCGCACCGCGCTGATCTGATGGCAGGAGCCAGGAGCCAGGTGCTTTTCCTGGTCTCCCATGGGGTGCAGGGCCCAAGCACCTGGGCCATCCTCCACTGCACTCCCTGGCCACAGCAGAGAGCTGGCCTGGAAGAGGGGCAACCGGGACAGAATCCGGCGCCCCGACCAGGACTAGAACCCGGTGTGCTGGCGCCGCTAGGCGGAGGATTAGCCTAGTGAGCCGTGGCGCAGGCCCCCGAGATAGAGTTTTTAACATTGGTTTTTCCCGAGCAAACTTGCTGACGTTTCTTTTTAACTATTTCCTTTTCGAAGTGATTAAGAATTTGTTGAAAGAGAACTGAATTTCCAGCTTGCCGGACTCAGCGGGCGCCCTCAGGACAAAGAGGCTTGCAACTTGGCGCTCCGCCCCCACTCTGAGATCTGCCTCACTTGGGCTCTGCTGTCTTGGCAGCTTCTGCGTCTTTTGCCTCCCACGCCCTTTCTCGTGCTGCTCCTCAAATCTCCACCTCACTCTCCCATTTCCTCAGTATAAAATGGGAATAATTATGCGTATTCGGCTTACATTGCCACCAGAAAGTCTTTGAAAAATGGTTTGTGTTCCTGGTGCAGAGCTGTGGTGGTTGGTTTAGAGAGTAGAGGTGTTTTTTTTTGTTTTTTTTTGTTTGTTTGTTTGTTTGTTTGTTTGTTTTTTGACAGGCAGAGTGGACAGCGAGAGAGAGAGAGACAGAGAGAAAGGTCTTCCTTTGCCGTTGGTTCACCCTCCAATGGCTGCCGCAGCCGGCGTGCTGCGGCCAGCGCACCGCGCTGATCCGATGGCAGGAGCCAGGTGCTTTTCCTGGTCTCCCATGGGGTGCAGGGCCCAAGGAGAGTAGAGGTTTTGATATTGCCCTTGACTTAGAGGTGGTGAGCCAGCCTGCCAGCAACTTTAATTAAGCCGCCTGTTCTTAGGACAAAGAGGCAGTTTACCAAACTCGGCTACGCAGCAGCACCTTTGGAAGAAGACCCCTCGGCACCAGCTGCGCGGATCTTTCGGGGAAAGAGAGAACTTGATACCGGACACTTTGCAGAGGGAGAAGCTTCTATGTGAGTGATCATCAGTGTGTGTGACTCCTAGAACCTGGCGGTCTCAACAGCTCCTTCAGGTGTTCAGAAGAGCATGGCTTACTGTGGGGGAGACCACGGGGGCAGGGGGCGGCCTGGCCCCTGTTTCTGACCCCACTCACAATCGTTCTCTTGGGATCTACTTTGTATCATAGGTTTATATTAAAATGCTATACCTTATGAACTGTGTTCCTCCAAATTATTGGAGAATTTATTAAAACTCTTTCCTCCAGAGAATAAGTTTTTGATGGATATATGTATTTTTTAAAAAGTTCTTTGCATAAGAGTAGAGGAAGTAAAGTCCAGCTAGCTTAAGCAACAATAATTTCTTAAAGGGACATAATTTTTTTTCCCAAGGACAGGAATGCTGTTGAATTTATCCCTTAATATATCTTTTTTTAATTAATTAATTTATTTGAAAGGCAGAGTTAGAGAAAAGGAGAGACAGAGAAATATCTTCTACCCACTGGTTCACGTCCCAAATGGTGGCAATGGCCAGGTCGAGGCTGGGCTGAAGCCAGGAGAGAGAAGATTCTTCCAGGTCTCCCACATGATGTCAGGAGCCCAAGCACTTGAGTCATCTTCCGCTGCATTAGCAGTAGCTGGCTCAGATGTGGAGCACCTGGGACATGAACCGGTGCCTGTATGGGCTTCTGGCACCTCAGACAGCAGGCCAACCCGCTGCGCCACCATGCCAGCCCCTATACTCTAACCTGGGGGGTGAACCAGTGGAAGGAAGACCTTTCTCTCTGTCTCACTATCACTAACTATCTGTCAAATAAAAAAAAAAAAAAAAGGTAACAACAAGGGAGTGAGGAGAGATGGGTCGGTGGTTACAGTGTTACGTATAGGAATAAGTTCTAGAGTTCTGTTGCACAGGGTGACTTTAATTGAAGTTGTTAAACATAAGGGGAGATGCTTAACTTCACTGCTAATGAAAGATGCAAATTAGGGCCAGCACTGTGGCGTAATGAGTAAACCCGCCCCTGCAGTCCTGGGATCTCATATGGGCGCCGGTTCAAGTCCCGGCTGCTCCTCTTCCAATCCAGCTCTCTGCTGTGGCCTGGGAAAGCAGTAGAAAATGGCCCAAGTCCCTGCACCCATGTGGGAGACCTAGAGGAAGCTCCTGGTTCCTGACTTTGGATCAGCGCAGCCCCAGCCATGTAGCCAACTGGGGAGTGAACCAGTGGATGGCAGACTCTCTCTCTGCTTTTCCTTATCTTTCTATGTAACTCTAACTTTCAAATATATAAAATCTTTTTTTTTTTTTTTTTGACAGGCAGAGTTAGACAGTGAGAGAGAGAGACAGAGAGAAAGGTCTCCCTTCTGTTGGTTCACTCCCCTAATGGCCGCCATGGCTGGCCAATCCGAAACCAGGAGCCAGGTGCTTCCTCTTGGTCTCCCATGCGGGCCCAAGCACTTGGGCCATCCTCCACTGCCCTCCTGGGCCACAGCAGAGAGCCGGACTGGAAGAGGAGCAACCAGGACAGAATCCGACACCCAAACCGGGACTAGGACCTGGGGTGCCGGCGCCGCAGGCGGAGGATTAGCCTAGTGAGCCGTGGCGCCAGCCAAATAAATAAAATCTTAAAAAAAATGATGCAAATCAAAATATGATGGTACCATTTTTTAAATTACAAGATTTGGGCAAAAAACAAAATAGAGAAAAATACATACCTGTTACAGGTTAGAGTATAGGGGAACGAACTGCTGTTGGAAGTGTGAATAAAAAGAACAATTTATTTATTTGATTTGTTTGCCCTACTTTTTAAAAATGTATTGATTTGAAAGGCAGAGCAACAGAGAGAGAGACCTTCCATCTGCCAATCCATTCCCCAAAAGCCAACAACAGCTGGAGCTGGGCCAGGTTGAAGCCAGCAGCCTAGAACTCTACCTGGATCTCCGACATGAGTGGCAGGGCCTCAACCTCGAGCCATCACCTTCCGCCTCCCAGGGTCACATTAGCAGGAATCTGGATCAGAAGCAGAGTAACTTGGACTTGAACCAGGCATTCTAATATAGGATGCGGATGTCCCAAGCACTCAATCTGCTGTGTACAATTCCCACGCTATTTGATTTATTTGAAAGAGAGACCCAAAAACAGACAGCAATCTTCCATCCAGAGGGTTCACTCTTCAAACGCCTGTAGCAGCCATGGCTGGACCAGGCCAAATCCAGGTATCCCATGTGGCTGGCAGGAATGCATGTACTTACTTGATCCATGAGCACCTGCCTCCCAGGGTGTGCATTAGCAAGGAAGCTGGAGTGGAGAGAGCAGAGCCAGGACTTGATACGCTATAGTATGGGATGTAGGCATCCCATGCCAAAAACCCACTCCAAGAGACTATTTTGGAGAGGCAATTGGCAATTGCTATAAAAATTAAAACTGTATTAACCCTTGATGCAGCAATTCTGTTTTCAGATAAGTATTTTATTTTTGCTCTCACGATTGCCAAGAAGGTTCTTCTCTGGCCCAGAGCCCCTGGAGAGAGTAGAACAGGAGGAGTTGAGGAAGTTGAGCAAAGGAGACTGGTCGGGGTGGGACGGCTGAGGACCAGCTAACCCTCCTTTCTGATTTCTCCTGCCCTACTTGCTGAGACTCAAAATTCTCATAAGAAACAGCTGTCACTCTTTAACTAATAGAAGACATAAAAATATAAAATGTGCACTAATTGATCATTTTTTTGAATATTTGTTTATTTGAAAGGCAGAGTTACAGAGAGGCAGAGGCAGAGAGAGACAGAGAGAGAGGTATCTTCCATCCACTGGTTCACTCACCAAATGGCCACGATGGCTGGAGCTGGGCTAATCCGAAGCCAGAAGCCAGGAACTTCTTCTAGGTCTCCCATCCAGATGCAGGGACCCAGGCACTTGGGCCATCTTCTGCTGCCTTCCCAGCCCAGAGCTGGGTCCAGAGAGCTGGATCGGAAGAGAAGCAGTAGGCTAGAACCGATGCCTGTATGGGATGCTGGCACTGCAGGTGGTGGCTTTACCTACTACACCACAGCACCAGCTACTGTAATTGATAATTTTTTTTTCTGTTTGACTCTTGCAGTGAGGAAGATAGTTTCTTTACCTTCCCAACAGAACAGTTACTATGTTTCTTTGTTACTGGTCTTTTTAACCAGCAAGGTAAAGGACAAAACAATGGGTCAAAATCTGCTTTTTTTTTTTTTTTGACAGACAGAGTGGACAGTGAGAGAGAGAGACAGAGAGAAAGGCCTTCCTTTGCCGTTGGTTCACCTTCCAATGGCCGCTGCGGCCGGTGCGCTGCAGCCGGCGCACTGTGCTAATCCGAAGGCAGGAGCCAGGTGCTTCTCCTGGTCTCCCATGCGGGTGCAGGGCCCAAGCACTTGGGCCATCCTCCACTGTACTCCCGGGCCACAGCAGAGAGCTGGCCTGGAAGAGGAGCAACCAGGACAGAATCTGGCGCCCCGACCGGGACTAGAACCAGTGTGCTGGCACCACAGGTGGAGGATTAGCCTAGTGAGCAGCAGCGCCGGCCCCAAAATCTGCGCTTTTTTTTTTTTTTTTTTTTTTTTTTTTGACAGGCAGAGTGGACAGTGAGAGAGAGAGACAGAGAGAAAGGTTTTGCCGTTGGTTCACCCTCCAATGGCCGCCGCGGCCGGCGTGTTGCGGCCGGCGCACCGCGCTGATCCGATGGCAGGAGCCAGGTGCTTTTCCTAGTCTCCCATGGGGTGCAGGGCCCAAGCACCTGGGCCATCCTCCACTGCACTCCCGGGCCACAGCAGAGAGCTGGCCTGGAAGAGGGGCAACCGGGACAGAATCCGGCGCCCCGACCGGGACTAGAACCCGGTGTGCCAGCGCCGCTAGGCGGAGGATTAGCCTAGTGAGCCGCGGCGCCGGCAAAATCTGCCTTTTTTTTTTAAAAAAAAAAAAATGGAATAGGTTTGGGTATTGCAGATTAAGCCACTGCTTGCAATGTCTTCATCCAGTATTTGAAGTGCCTGGGGGTGGAGTCCTGCCTCCATTTCTGATCCAGCTTCCTGCTAATGCACACTGGGAGGCAGCAGGTGGTAGCTCAGGTACTTGGGTCTCTACAACCCATGTGGAACACCCAGGTGGAGCTCCTGGCTCCTGGCTTCAGCGTGGCCCAGCTCTAGCTGTTGTGGGCATTTGAGGAATGAATTAACAAATGGAAAATTCTCTCTTTCTGTGTGTGTGTGTGTGTGTGTTGCACTCCCTTTCAGATAAGTAATAAAGACAAAAAGGAATAGATAAGGTTAGAAAATTCAAGTGACATTAAAAAATACAAAATGAGGGGCCAGCACTGTGGCGCAGTAGGTTAATCCTCCGCCTGCGGCACCAGCATCCTATATGGGTGCCAGTTTGAGTCCCGGCTACTCCACTGCCGATCCAGCTCTCTGCTATGGCCTGGGAAAGCAGTAGAAGATGGCCCAAGTCTTGGGCCCCTGCACCCACGTGGGAGACCTGGAAGAAGCTCTTGGCTTCTGGCTTCAGACCGGCTCAGCTCCGGCCATTGTGGCCACTTGGGGAGTGAACCAGCAGATGGAAGACCTTTCTCTCCATCCTTCCGTCTCACTGTCTATACATCTACTTCTCAAATAAAAAGAAAAAGAAAAAAATACAAAATGAAAGCTAAAAGCACTCCTATTTTTAAGATCTGAAGTAAACTCTGAGTGGGACTGCTAGATGCGCACACACTCAATCTTCTTGCCAAACTACTCTCCAGAAAGTTTGCACCAGTGCACTGTTGTCTGCAGGTGTTTGCTTACCCCTTTGTCAGGATGAGAGTAAAACATGTCAAGGTGTTTCCCATCTATTAGGTAACAAACTGGCATTTTCATTATGACTTACATTTTTAAATTACAAATGAGATTCAGCAGCTTTATCATTCTTCAGATATTTATTGCCTTCTCATCCCCATTAAACCATGGAAAATTATATATATATATATATACACACACACACACACATACATACAAGGGCCCAAAGTGGGAGAGGAAATAAGAAGGGCGGAGGTGAGGGCAGTGGGCACAAGAAAGATTCCTAGAACAAGCGTTGTCTTTTCTTCCTCTTTCTAGGGCCTACCTGTTTACCTTCAGCTGGGCGCGCTCAGATAGAATCTGTAAGCAGAGGTATTTCCTGCCCTTCCCACCAGGAAATTCAGATTGCGGTATTGGAATAGGTCCCGAGCCCTTGCCCTCCCACCAGATCCAGGAAGCACATGGCAAGCCTGGGGTCCGCGTCTGGTGGGCACTCAGGGGCTTCAGCCTTTAGTTTCCCCCCTTAATTTCTTTTTCTAACTCCCTGAGAGCCTTTCTCCCCCCCCCCTTTCTTCTTCATTGTCTCCCCCATGAACTCCTTTTCCTCTCTTTTGCCCCTCCGTCCCCTGTTCCTCACCTGTGCACTCCTTGTTTGATAAGACTGTCCTCTGAATGGGCTTATGATGGACCTGGAATTTAATTTGAGATTGTTTCACTGTAGTTAATAAAGGCTTTTTTTCCTAAAAAGCAAAAGATTAAAAAAAAAAAAAAAACCTTTTCCTAAATTGCTAAGGGTGGATGGAATGTGCCACGTTAGATAACTTTTGATTCATCATAACCCATTCTCGAAATGTCTTGGACCCTTAACATGTTTTTAAAAAGCTTTCTCTGAAGTGCACCAAAGCTTTATATTTAAATATTCAGCACTAAATGCAGAATATTGACTTAACGTTTTATGGTTTAGAATCTGTCATGCTGGACCAAACAGTAAAGGAAGCCGTAGGGCAGGATTGTGGATCTCTGCTTGTGTTTAATACCTGTATTTAATGGTTGTATCTTAACACAGCGCAGAAGGTTACGTAGCTGTTGCGGAGGAGGAGTGAGAGTTCCCAGGGAGGAAGGGGAGGAGAGTGTTCACCTGTTCCCTTTCCCTGTGACAGGTTCCCTCATGCTGAGCTCTCCACTTCTTCGGACCAGACAGCTCGTTTACAATGAGTTGGATGACGTAAACCCGCGTCTCCAAGAGCCCCGAGAGCTTTTTCCCTTCTTCTCCGGCAAAGGGCCGCTGCAGGCGCCACGGTGGCCAATAGAGTGCGAGGTCATCAAGGAGAGCATTCGTCATATTGGTAATGTGGCCCGGGTGTGACCACGGCCTTCTCCCCTACCTGCTGAAAGACAAGGCGGGACTGCGTCGGCGTCTGTTGACTCACCCTGAGAAGACGGAACGCTGGGGAGCTCACAGACACTCACCAGAGCCCAAACTTATACCAGCGCGGGTGTTTGACTTAGCAGTTAGGCCGCCAGCTGGGATGCCAGTGTCTGTATCGCAGCACCTGGCAGTTCCCGCCTCCGACTCCTGACTCCAGCTTCCTGCTGGTGCTCACCCTGGGAGGACAGCAGTGCTGCCTGCAGCTGGGTTCCTGCCGCCCACGTGGGAGACCTGGATTGAGTTCCCGGCTCCCAGCGTCGCCCTCCCCCCAACTCACTGTTACAGGCATTTGGGTATCTCACTCTCTCCATCTCACAAATGAATAAGAGAGTGGATAGTTTAATTTTTTAAAAAGGTACACTCCTGTATAAACTGGAATGCTTCTGAGTTCTTTGGAATAAGGGTACTTTATTTATAGAGTCTAAGAAATATAAATATTTAAGGGCGGCACCGCGGCTCAATAGGCTAATCCTCTGCCTGCGGCGCCAGCACACCGGGTTCTAGTCCCGGTTGGGGCACCGGATTCTGTCCCGGTTGCCCCTCTTCCAGGCCAGCTCTCTGCTGTGGCCCAGGAGTGCAGTAGAGGATGGCCCAGGTGCTTGGGCCCTGCACCCCATGGGAGACCAGGAGAAGCACCTGGCTCCTGGCTTTGGATCTGTGCAGTGCACCGGCCACAGTGGCCATTGGGTGGTGAACCAACGGTAACGGAAGACCTTTCTCCCTGTCTCTCTCTCTCTCACTGTCCACTCTGCCTGTCAGAAATTAAAAAAAAAAAAGAAATATAAATATTTAAATCTTTTTTTTTTTGCATCACTGGTCATATCTGAGCCTTTGATGCAAATATAATCTCTTGCATTCATTTTATGAAGCACTTGCAGAAGTGGGTTGCATTGAAAAATGGGAACTTTTTAAATTCCTGGGATACTTAGGGCCATCTGTCATCATGTCTCTCTTTTTTTTTTTTTTTTAAGATTTATTTATTGAGGCCAGCACTGTGGCATAGCAAGTAAAGCCTTTTAGATTTATTTATTTATTTGAAAAGCAGAGTTACAGAGAGGCAGAGAGAGAGAAAGAGAGGCCTTCCATCCTCTGGTTCACTGCCCAGATGGCCACAACAGCCAGAGCTGCACCAATCCAAAGCCAGGAGCCAGGAGCTTCTTCCGGGTCTCCCACATGGGTACAGGGGCCCAAGGAAGGACCTGGGCCATCCTCCACTGCATTCCCATGCCACAGCAGAGAGCTAGATTGGAAATGGAGCAGCCAGGACTTGAACCAGTGTCCATATGGGATGCCAGCACTGCAGGTGGTGGCTTTACCCACTTACGCCACAGCAACGGCCCCATGTCTCTACTTTAGACACTGGATAAACAAGTGGATGTTTCTTATTTCTTACTCCCCTCTTAGAATATTCATTCAATAATATATATTGGCATTTATCATATGCTAAGCACAGTGGTGCTAGAGGTACAGTAGTGAGCAAGATAGAGACACCCAGAGCTCATGGACTTACTGCAAGGGAAGCTAAACACTTCACCAGGCAGTTACATAGAGTTTGGGCCCTCTGGGAACCCCTGACCCAGCGAGGGATCTGTGTGGGTTTCCAGGAGTTGACGTTTTAGTTGAGATCTGAAGGATGAGTCAGAAGTGATCCAACTGAGAAGATCAAAGGAAAGTGTTCCGGTTAAAATAGAACATGGTGTGTGTGGGCATCCATGGGACGTTGAACATGGGAGACAGGGATGAGGCTGAAAGTATAGACAGAGGCTCACCGTGTTCTCAACTGGGTCCAGCTCTGCTCTTGGAATGTTGGAAATAGGGGAGGGGGTAATGACTAGGATCATCTGCTCTTACCCTGCACAATTTTTACATAAAAGTTCAAGTTGATCTTGCCAGACACTAGGATTTTGCTATTAAAACAGTAGAACCAAATGTGTATTCAATAAAAACAAAATTCCTTTGAGGATTTGGGACTCAGTTCTAAGAGGGGAAAAAAAGTGGGAAGCTGAAATTTAATAACGAGTTATTGCAATGGTAACCCACCATCTTTTAAAAATTTTAAAAGGAGCCGGCACTGTGGCGTTAGTAGGGTAAGCCTTCGCCTGCACACCAGCATCCCATATGGGAGCCAGTTCAAGTTCCGGCTGCTCCACTTCCACTCCAGCTTCCTGCTAATGACCTAGGAAAGCAGTGGGAGACCTGGAAGAAGCTCCTGGCTTCAGATTGGAAGCAATATTAATATTAAGTAAATATAATTGATATATTTATTAATATATAAATATTTTAAACTGATCTTTAAAAATCAGTGTTCAAAAATTTGAAGGAAACTTATTAACAAGCACATCATTATTTATGTATTTATTTTAAATATTTATTTTACTTGAAAGTCAGAGTTACACAGAGAAGGAAAGGCAGAGAGAGAAAGAGGTCTTTCATCTGCTGGTTCACTCCCCAGTTGGCTATAACTGCTGGAGCTGGGCCAATGCAAAGACAGGAGCCAGGAGCTTCTTCTGGGTCTCCCACGTGGGTGCAGGGGCCCAAGGGCTTGGGCCATCTTCCATTGCTTTCCCAGGCCACAGCAGAGAGCTGGATCAGAAGTGGGGCAGCCAGGACGCAAACTGGCACCCATATGGGATGTCGGCACTGCAGGCAGCAGCTTTACCCACTCCACGACAGCATCAGCCCCAAGCACATTATTTAAACTGAATTGTGAAAGCCTCATCATGTCCCATCACCTGTAAGAAAAGAAATTAGCATTGTCTTTCACTGAGTTGTGTCTTCATATGGCTTTCATCAGTGGCTACTGTGCTTAAAATAATATGGAGATGTTGCTATAGTCCTTTATGAGAAAAATTTTTTTGTTTTGTTTTGTTTTTTTTTTTTTTTTTTTTGATAGGCAGAGTGGACAGTGAGAGAGAGAGAGAGACAGAGAGAAAGGTCTTCCTTTGCCGTTGGTTCACTCTCCAATGGCCGCCGCGGCCGGCGCGCTGCGGCCGGTGCACCACGCTGATCCGATGGCAGGAGCCAGGAGCCAGGTGCTTTTCCTGGTCTCCCATGGGGTGCAGGGCCCAAGCACCTGGGCCATCCTCCACTGCACTCCCTGGCCACAGCAGAGAGCTGGCCTGGAAGAGGGGCAACCGGGACAGAATCCGGCGCCCTGACCGGGACTAGAACCCGGTGTGCCGGCGCCGCAAGGCGGAGGATTAGCCTAGTGAGCCGCGGTGCCGGCCGAGAAAAATTTTTTAAGATTTATGTTTTATTTATTTGAAAGGCAGAGGTACACAGAGAGGAAGAGAGAGAAAAATATCTTCCATCTGCTTGTTCACTCCCCAAATGACCACAATGGCCTGGCCCAGCCCAGGCTAAAGCTAGGAGCCTGGAGCTTCTTCCAGGTCTCCCTTGTGGGTACAGGGGTCCAAGCACTTGTGCCGTCTTCCACTGCTCTCCCAAGCGCATTGGCAGGAAGCTGGATTGGAAATGGTCCACTTCCCACATATGGGATGCCAGCATTGCAGGCAGAGACTTTACTTGCTACATCACAATGCTGGCCCCAAGAAATCATTTTAAATTCAGAGCAAATGAAGAAATAATTGACAGACTAAATTCTTTAATAGTAGTAAAAAGGATGCAGCTGCCTGTGTTCTGACTTTAAGGCTGCTTGATGTCGAATTTTGCAGAGCTTTTGTAGCAACAGTTTTGATCTTTGTAGCATATTTTTCAGTCTTCTGTTGGTTATTTCATTGTAGGTGTTTTTTGTTAAAAATCTCCTTAACAGTCTCTATGGAAAGAAGCAAGACCTAATTAATTTATAAATTTATACATAAATATATATTTATAAACAAACTGGAAACTTGAGATGGGAATTTGGTTTGATTCTAGCCATTTGAATAATTATTATAATTTTTATATAAGTTCTGATAATGCCTTTAATATTGTTGCTTATTTTGTGCTTTTTAATTGTCTTTCAGAGTGGGTTCCACCTCAGCCAGAATATTTCTATCAATCTACAGGAAATGAAGAGGTACCAGAAATTGTAGGAGAGGAAAAAGGCACAGTTGTCTATCAGTTGGAATCAGGTATTGTCATTACACTCAACAGTGAGTAATTAATTGGGACAGTAAGTATATTTTGTACTAACAGAAGTTATTTTAAAAATTCCTGGAGTGTGGTTGCTGAGTTTGCCATTTTCATCATAATGAAAAAAAAAGATGGTCAATGCACCTAAAACCCGAATGACTTTCTGTAAGAAGTGTGGCAAGCATCAGCCTCACAAAGTGACCCAGTGTCAGAAGGGCAGGATTTCTTGTATGCCCAGGGGAAGAGGCGCTGTGATCGGAAGCAGAGTGGCTATGGTGGGCAGACAAAGCCAGTTTTCTGGAAGAAAGCTAACACCATGAAGAAGGTTCTGCTACAGCTTGAATGTGTTGAGCCCAACTGCAGATCCGGGATGACACTGGACATAAGAGATGCAAGCATTGTGAACTGGATGGAGATAAGGAGAGAAAGGGCCAACTGATCCAGTTCTAAACTTGGGGATTTTTTTTTTCTTTTTTGGCTCTTAATTTTGGGCAAAAATGCTGTGGATGTAAAAATTAACCTGTAGGGGCCGGCGCCGTGGCTCACTAGGCTAATCCTCTGCCTTGCGGCGCCAGCACACCAGGTTCTAGTCCCGGTCGGGGCACCGGATTCTGTCCTGGTTGCCCCTCTTCCAGGCCAGCTCTCTGCTGTGGCCCGGGAGTGCAGTGGAGGATGGCCCAAGTCCTTGGGCCTGCACCTGCATGGGAGACCAGGAGAAGCACCTGGCTTCTGGCTTCTGATCAGCGCAGTGCGCTGGCCGCAGCAGGCCAGCCACGGTGGCCATCGGAGAGTGAACCAACGGCAAAAGGAAGACCTTTCTCTCTCTCTCTCTCTCTCTCACTGTCCACTCTGCCTGTCAAAAATAAATAAATAAATAAATAAAATTTAAAAAAAGTAACCTATAGGGAAATAAATACAGTGATATTCATTACCCCCCCCCCCCAAGTTTCTAGTGTAGAAGTGGTGTTTAGCTCAGGGGTTAAGACACAGCTGGCAATGATCACATCCCAAATCTGAGTTCCTGGCTCTGCTTCCAATTCTAGCTTCTTGCTGATGCACACCTGAGAGGCAGTAGGTGATGGCTCAAGTAGTTGGATCCAGTTGCACATATGGAAGACCTATAATGCATTCCTGGCTCCTGGCTCCTGGCTCCTGGCTCCTGGCTTTGGCCTGGTCCAGCCCCAGCTATTGTAGGAATCTGAGAAGTAAACCAGCAGGTAGAAGAATTTATCTCCAACTTTATACCTTTCAAATAAAATGAAAAAAAAAAAAGTAAAGATGTATTTACTTATTTGAAAGAGTTACACAGAGAAAGAAGGAGAGGCAGAGAGAGAGAAAGAGGTCTTCCATCCGATGGTTCACTCCCCAACTGGCCACAATGGCCGGAGCTGCGCAGATCCGAAGCCAGGAACCAGGAGCTTCTTCCAGGTCTCCCTCACGATTGCAGGGGCCCCAGCACCTGGACCATCTTCTACTGCTTTCCCAGGCCATAGCAGAGAGCTGGATTGGAAGAGGAACAGCCAGTACTAGAACCGGTGCCCAAATGGGATGTCGGCACTTCAGACCAGGGCTTTAACCCACTGCCCCACAGTGCCGGCCCCTGAAAAAATTTTTTTAAAGATTTATTTATTTGAAAATCAGTTACACAGAGAGAGGAGAGGCAGAGAGAGAGAGAAGGAGAGAGAAAGGTCTTCCACCTGCTGGTTCACTCCCCAATTGGCCACAATGGCCAGAGCTGTGCTGATTGAAGGCCAGGAGCCAGGAGGTGCTTCTGGGTCTCCCACGTGGGTGCAGGGGCCCAAGCCCATGGGCCATCTTCCACTGCTTTCCCAGGCCTTAGCAGAGAGCTGGATCGGAAATGGAAATGGAGCAGCCAGGTCGTGAACTGGCACCCATATAGGATGTTGGCACTTCAGGCCAGGGCATTAACCCACTGCGCCACAGCACCATCCCCAAATAAAATGAAAATTTAAAAATTAACCATCATGAAATGCAAGATACTTTTTTTAAAATATTTTTTTTTTAATTCGAAAGGCAGAAGTTAGAGAGAGGGAGAGGGAGACAAAGATAGAGAGAGATCTTCCATCTACTGGTTTACTCCCCAAATACCCGCAATGGCCAGAGCTCAGCTGATCCAGAGCCAGGAGCCAGGAGCCAGGAGCTTCTTCTGGGTCTCCCATGTGGGTGCATGTAAGTACTTGGGCCAACCTCTGATGCTTTCCCAGGTGCATTAGCAGAGAGCTGGATCGGAAGTGGAGCGTTTTACAGCTTCTCCTTTGTTATTCCCATCTGAAAAATGAGGTGTTGGATCATCTTTGGGCAGCTTGCTCCTCTTTTCTGTTTTTTTTTTTTTTTATATTTATTTTATTTATTTGAAAGACAGAGTTACAGAGAGAGGCAGAGACAGAGAGAGGGAGGTCTTCCATCTATTGGTTCACTCTGCAGATGGCCACAATGGCCAGAGCTGAACTGATCTGGAGCCAGGAGGTAGGAGCTAGGAACTTCTTCCAGGTCTCCCATGTGGGTGCAGGGTCCCAAGCACTTGGGCTATCCTCTGCTGCTTTCCCAGGCTTGTTAGCAGGGAGCTAGATTGGAAGTGGAGCAACTGGGACTCGAACCAGTACCCATATGGGATGCCAGCACTGCAGGCTGGGGCTTTAACCCGCTGAGCTACAGAGCCAGCCCCACTCCTCTTTCTTTACCTCCCATAGGTACTTTCATGTATACTTGGTTGTATTTGCTCTGTCACTTAGGATGTGCTTTCCTACATTAAGTTGCACATTTCTAAGGATAGAAGCTGCATCTTTCCTGAAAATATTTAAAGCCCTAAATCCACCAGCACCAACAAGATATACATTCTTCCCAAGGACACCTGTTAGAATCATATGCTAGGCCATAAGTCTTAATACATCTAAAAGGGTTGAAATCATACAATACGTTCTCTGACCACAATAGAATTCAATTAGAAATCAGCAACAGAGTGAGATCTGGGAAATACATAAATATTTGGAAATTGAACGGTACATTTGTGAACACTATGGGCTAAAGAAATAGCAGGGTGGGGCCGGCATTGTGCTATGGTGGGTTCAGCTGCCTCCCACAATGCCAACATCCCATATGGGCATGGAGAGTCCTGGCTGCTCCACTTGTGATCCAGCTCCCTGCTAATGTTCCTGGGAAAACAGCAGTGGAAGACAGCCCAAGTACTTGAGCCCCTACACCCATTTGGGAGGCCTGAGTGGGAGTCCAGGATCTTGGCTCTGGCCCAGCCCAGCCCTAGCTGTTTGTGGCCATCTGGGGAGTGAACCAGTGGATGGAAGACCTCTCTTTCTGTCTGTGTCTCTGTCTCACCCTCTCTGTACCTCTGCCTTACAAATAAAAAAATAAATCTTTTTTAAAAATCTAAATTAAAAAGAAATAACAAGGAAAATTGTACCATAGCATATCAGACTTTATAGAATGCTGCTAACACACTGCCAGGGAAATTTGTGGCTTTGTGTTTGACAGCAAGAAAGCTCTTAGTTATCTAAGCTTTTGTTTTAATAAGATAGAAAATGAGAGTAAACTATGCCTAAGGCAAGCAGAATAAAGGAAATAATGAAAGTTAAACGTGAAACTCAGTGGAATAGAAAACAAAAAATGATAGAACAAGTCAACAAAAAACATCAATGATATGGACAAATTTAGCTGGACCAACCAAGAATACAGAGGATACATACATTACCAAAATCAGAATGAAAGAAGGGACATAACCACCAAACCTACAGAAATCAAAACAGTTACACAATAATGCCATCACCAACTTTATGACACAAGTTAGACAGTGATGAAGAACAAATTGTTGGGAAGAAAAGTTACCAAACTGATTCAGGATGAAATGAAAAGTCTGAAGAGATTAATACAAAGAAATTGAATTAGTAATTTAAAATCTTCCCACAAAGAAAACCCAGGCCGAGACCAGCTTGACAGGGTTGTTTCTTTTTTTTAATTTTTACATTTTTATTTTTTAATTTTTTTAAAGATTTATTTGTTATTTATTTGAAAGAGTTACACAGAGAGAGGAGAAGCAGAGAGAGAGAGAGAGAGAGAGAGAGGCCCTCCATCCGATGGTTCACTCCCCAGTTGGCTGTAATGGCCGGAGCTGTGCCGATGCGAAGCCAGGAGCCGGGAGCTTCCTCCGGGTCTCCCATGTGGGTGCGGGCTTGGACCATCCTCCACTGCGTGCCCAGGCCATAGCAGAGAGCTGGATAGGAAGAGGAGCAGCCGGGTCTCAAACCGTTGCCTATATGGGATGCTGGCACTTCAGGCCAGGGCTTTAACCCGCTGTACCACAGTGCCCGCCCCCCCTTTTTTTTTAGTCATCAAAAAAATCTGAAGCCTGAATCCAGTGACACATTGTGACCAAATGGAATTTATACTTGGAACACACAAATAATTTTAATGGAATGCACAAATAATTTTAACATCAGAAAATCAATTATGAAATAAAATATTTAAATGGAATAAAGGGCAAAACCACATAGCACACACACACACAAAATTAACAGAAATGGCAGCATAAGGGATCCCAGAATCAGCTCCTCTGAAGTAATTAAACTAGCAAAAGCTAGTGGTTGGCACTGTGGCATAGTAGGCCAAGCCTCCACTTACAGCGCTGGCGTCCCATATGGGCACTGATTCCAGTCCCAGCTGCTCCTCTTCTGATCCAGCTCTCTGCAGGTGGCCTAGGAAAACAGTGGAAGATGGCCCAAGTGCTTGGGCCCCTGCACCCACTTGAGAGACCTGGGGAAAGCTCCTGGCTTCGGATTGGCACAGCTCTGATCATCGCATCTGTTTGGGGAGTGAACCAGCCAATGGAAGATATTTTTCTCTGTTTCTCCCTCTCTCTGTATCTCTGCCCCTCAAGAGGTGATAATTTAAAAAAAAAAAAAAAAGCATTTCCAGAACTGTTGGATCTGAATGTAATCAGCAATTTAGGGAGAGTGCTTAATGAAGAAAC